GTTATTGGGCCTTATATAAATATTTGAACCAAGCCCACTAATATTAAAAAGACAAAACGTGGCTCAAATTATTCATAATAGGATCGATGACATCGTAATTTCAAGAGTCATTAAGGGTATTTTCGGAACACTAACTCTTAAACTCACTCTAGAGTTGTTACCTAGAATTTTTGACTTCTCATTTATAAGTATAGATAGATAGATTGTTTTTTATTTTATATTAAGAAACAAAACCGTGCGTTCCGCGCAAAATTTAGTTTCATTATATCTTTTTTTGTTATAGCAACACATGTATTTTTGTTAATATACATGAAACAGATGATTCCTGAACGTTGAAACCATACACAAACCATTGGAGTTATCAATATGTTTATCCAAAGTTTGAACAGTTTTACTTTTTCTAAATATGTGCTTCCCATTTTTTGTATCTACTATTAAATAAGTTGACTACTCGGTTTTACATATACAATTTTTAAATATTTAAATGTGTATGACAAAACATATGATTTTTAATATCTATAAATGTACAAAAATGATATGTCTTGTGGGTAAATATAATAAAGTTTAATAATTTTGATCAAACATATGTTAATATCATTAAAAATGCTTGTAAATATATCAGAGAAAACAATATATAATATAGGATATGGTATGTGTTAAACAAAAAAAAACTAAAATTATTATATTTTAGTTGAGTTTAAATTTGTAAAGCATGTATTAATGGACTTGTATTATAAAATTAATGAAAATATATAGAGATTTCTACCATAACATATAGTTTTAATTAAAATGTTATGATTGTTTAAATTAAATGACGTATCCCCAATAACATTTTTTTAAACAACAGTTGATTTTTTCATTATATCTTCTCGATTAATATACATAGGATTCACTTCCCAAACGTGAACTCTTCGCTTTTAAGATTATTTTCTATATTTTATAAACCTCTGTTTTGAGTACTTTGGACGTAGAAAACCAAGACGGATACTTCTGTTTCATCATTTTCGTACACATTTCAATCAGGTTGTCAATAAAATATGGAGAAACTCATCATTGTGTAACGAATCCTTGAATTTAACTGATAAATTGACACAAATATGGAATATATATTCAACAGATAGATGCAAAAAATTCTTGAACTCAGTTATATATCCGTTATGGGTTGGCTTGTCTTTCCACTTTTTCATCCGTCCTCCACTATTTCTACTCTTCTACCAGTGTACAAACAACACTCTCTCCATATCCATCTATAAGCCATAATTTTATTCTCCTTCACAAACCATGAATCAAAACAAAATGATAAAATGAAAAAGATGAGGAAAGAAAAAAAAGTACAGAAAACTGCATCAGATTAAGAATGATAACCATAATTTATCTCTGCCATGAAACATAAGACGTATATGAACGGCCCTTAAAATGGAAGAACAATTGTTCTCG